GATCGCCGGAGCCCAGCAGGTCGAGGCTGCGGTGGCTGGGAGTGGCCACTGCACTCCAGTCTGGGCGACAGAGTGAGACTCCAACTCAAAAAAAAAAAAAAAAAACTATTTGCTTTATAAATTTATGTATGTGCATATATGTAATAAGAATATTCAAAATAATTTCAATATAATTAAGGTATTCCTTTTATACAAATGGAAGCTATAATTTAAATTAATGTGAAATATGTTCCAAACCTAAGAGAAAATGCAGAAGGCAATATTAAAAAATAACTTTTATACTAATTTACTCTTTTTTCATACTGAGTATCTCTGCCTCTCTTCTAATTAGAAATCCATCTAGCAGGAAAAAAGAGTGACATGTATAAAATGATGTTTATGCATACACTGTAAAAATTGGTATTTGCACAACTCCTTTTTTGTCTTATATTTTGCTGTTCCTGCAACCAATTTTGAACCTCTATAGCTTTGAATAAAAATTATACGGAGAAAATATTCAATACTGCATTTATAAAAATAGCAGGGTGGAATATGTGACTGTTTAGAGTATGAAGTCAATAAAACTTCTACTTTTAAAAATTTTTTTCAAAACAGCTATTCCTTTTTAATATTTGTTCTATTTGCTTTTTCCATTTGCACATGCACATTATTATTCTTTTTCTGAACTATTAGAAAGTTGTTGATATCCTGTGTTTTTACTTGTAAATATTTCAATGTGAATTTCTTAAGAACAAGTACCTTGTCTTCTCTTACATTATCACAGTATAATGATCAAAATCAGGAAATTTAACATTGATATTATTCACATTCATTTTTACCAAATACCTCGATAATGTCAGTTATGGTTCCCCTCCCCCTAGCCCAGGATCGAATCTGGAATTACACATTGCCTGGTTTTCATGTCTCTTTAGTCTCCTTTTATCTTTCTTTGTTTTTCATGTCCTTGACATTTTTGAAGATCATAAACCAGTTGTCTTGAAAGATGTCTTTCAATCAGGGTTTGTCTGACATTTCCTTACGCTTATATTAAGATTAGGCATTTTCATCACCATGTATGTTATGCAAAAAGTGATGTTATATCCTTTTCAGTGCATGGTACGGGAAGCACAGGATACTAGTTTGTCCTATTAGTGGTGACGTTTGATTTGATCACTCGATTAAGGTGGTAACCTCCAGGATTCTCTTTTGTAAAGTTATTATTTTTCCCACGATAGTTGATAAATACATTGTGGAATTTTGAGACCGTGTAAATATCTTGTTCCTTATCAAACGTTCAGCCAGAAGTTTTAGTATCCATAGAAATAAATAATTTAAAGATTCAGCAGACATGTACACTTAACAGGAGGTGAGAGCGGAGGGCACCCATATCCTCCTTTCAGTATTCAGAGCTCTAAAAGTTTGTCTGACCCAGTTATACTGAAGCCAATGCTATCAGATGTATCTTACAGGTTTCTCAATGAAAATGTCCCTTGCAGTTTGGTCTTCTTTGATAATTTGCTGTTTTTGTTGTTGTTGTTTTTCCTCTGGATATTTGGAATTGACCCTGATGGTCCCCTTTGCTCATGCCTCCAGTTTCCTGTAGCCACTGTATGCCAGCACTTTTCCTTCCATTCAGTGTGGCTGTTCCTAAGATGGGAGAATTAATCATTTGCCTCGTGGCCGTTTCAAAGTCTTGGGCTGGTTTCATCCATGGGAACATGGGTTGGAAGAGTTGGTGAGTTGGCAAACACTTTCTGTAAAGGGCCACATTACAAATATTTTAGGCTTTCCTGCCCATATGGTCTCTGCTGCAGTTGTTTATCTCTGTTGCTGTAACACTAAAGCATCCATACACCATACATAAATGGATGATCATGGTTCTGTGTTTTAATAAAACTTAATTTACAATAACAATGGAGGACAAAATTTCACTTGCAGATCATGGTTTGCTAACCTCTGTCCTTGAATATTCTAAATCAAACAAATTCTGTCATCACAAATATTCATTTTCTTCAAAAATCTTACCTCTGACCTACCTCAAAATTCCCACTAAAGCAATTCTCTAACCATATCAAGATCCACTGACCACAGTGCTTGTTCACTTTCTATCCCCTTGTGTCCCCCCACCCTCATGGCTTCACTTCTCTCCTCATTTCATGCAGTTACATGGAGTGTCACTACACTGTAATTAGCTCCTTGCTCACACTGGTAACTCTTTTGCTATACCACACCCCCCAACACCCCAACTATTATGTGTTTGGCAAACCTTCAGCCTGGACAGATCTGGCTCTCAGATTTCTTGGGCCTTATGTCACCATGCAGACTGTTCTCACTATAAATTGATGTTTGCACATTTCAAACAAGCCCCCTGTCACCCTACTGCTTTTCCCACATCAATTGCTCTACTCTGAGTTGATATGCTTTTTAGCCTAGCAAACGTCTGACCCTAACTGCCTGTCCAATCTCTATTGATGATGTCACTTTTTATTTCATTGAGAAAATAGAAACACTATAAAAAAGAACTGCCTCATCTTTCCACCACCAAATCTACCTACTGACCTGCAATATCCTCTCTCCTGCTGCAGGACAGCAACCCCTGCTTCTATCTAAGCTTCACTCCTTTCAGAAACCCTCCCAGGGTCCACACTGAATCTAATTACTGCTCCAAGTCTCTGCCCCTTCATCAGCAGCACTCCTGGAAAGGTTTGTCTGCTTTACAGTAAGTCTTCTACAAACAAATGAGTTTCTTTCCCAGAGAGTGTTCATAAATTCAATTTGTCTGTTTAAGTCCAACAAAGTTAGACTAGGTATGCAACTAACACAATTGGTTATATAGTATGGTAGGTACTGTAATAGTTTTATAATACCTTTCACACAAATACATTAAAAAACACTAAAAATAAAGAAAACATTTTTAATCCTACACTATAATACCTTGTACACATGTGACAGCGCATGCAAGACACATGAAATAACTTATGTGATTGGACATATGAATGCATATTCACATCTTTGAAAGTTCAGAACTTAAAGGTTCGTATATAGAGACAATGTATTTCTCCACATCTTCACTTACCACTCTCTTCTCAACTATCTCCGTTCCATTTTGTTATTATCAGCAGTCAATTGTCTTCCCTTATCAGACTCATTATTCAATAACACTTCTTTCTTCTCAAAACCATGTCTTCACTTTTGTTCTGGAATACTACACTCTGCTTTTTCTTTGGCCTCTCCATCATTCAGTCTTATTCTCCTTTCGGGTTCCCGCTCATTCTAACTGCTACATCCTGGAGTTCCCCAAGACTCGGTCTTAAGATCTGTTTTCTTCTCACTTCCCAAGTGATCTTAAATAATGGCAATATTTTAAATATCATTTATATGCCGATAACTCCCACATTCATATCTCAAGTCTTGGCATCTGCCCCTGTTTCCAGACTTTTAGATCTAGCTGTCTAGTCAATAAGTCAGCCTGTATATTATGTAATAAACATCATAGAGCTAATAAGTCCAGGGCACAATTTTATCCCCTAACCCATCCTCTAAATTCCTTTATCTCTCATCAAATGGTATTTCCATTTATCTAGTTGTTCAGATCAAAATTTTGGAGACGTTTCAATTATTTTCTTCCTTCATACTTCACATGTAGTGTGAAGGAAGAAAAAAAGATAAAATTGATAATCCTTTAAATATATGTTTAAAATATATTCTGAATCATTTTATTCCCTTTTATTTGCACTCTTAACCATCTTAGTCTTTGCCAATGTAATTGTTTTAAGATGTTTTTGCAATCATTTGATTCTCTCTCTTCAAAAGTTTGAGCTTAATTCTCTTCCTGTCAAGTGCAAGTTATACTTGACTCATTTCTAATGGAAACAATGTGGTGGAAGTGACAATGTGAAATCACTTTCTTTGGGGAAAACTAGTGGCTATGTCATGAGGATATTCAAGCAGCCTTTTGGAAAAATCCATGTGGTGAGAAATTGAGGCATCTAGTCAACAGCCATATGAGTGACCCATCCTTGAAGTGGATTCATCAGCTCCAGTCAGGTCTTCAGATAATGTAATTCTCAGCCAATAGCTTGACTGTAACTTCATGAGAAACCCTGAGCCAAAATTACTCAACTAAGTCACTTCTGGAAAATAAATGTGTGAGAAAATAAATGTCTATTATTTTAAGCTGTTAAATTTGGGTGATTTTTTGTTATTATTTTATTTGTTTAATTATTTTAATATATTTTATTTTAAAGATGTGGGATACAATTCAGGATTAGGTATACAAGTGGACATTGTACGGGTAAAGTTTGGGCCTCCCTTTGGTCCCTATTTTGCCTGGTTTGAGATCAGGTACACTTATTGATGTATTTTTAATATATATATTTATTTTATATTCTAAGTGAGCAAGTGCCTATTTGTTACATGGACATATTGTGTACTGGTGGGAATTGGGCTTCAGGTGACCCATTCCCTAGATAGTGATCATTGTACTCAATAGGTAATTTCTGAACTCTAACCCTCTTTCCTGCCTTCCTTCTTTTGGTGTCCCCAGTGTCTATTAGTTTGATCATTGTGGTCATTTAGCTCTCAAATATAATTGAGAGCATGCGTTGTTTGG